AAACATTTGCGCTGCGTATTGACACTCAATCGGGGTTGGTTTCTAAAAAGATTACGGAGAAGCTTTCTATTACTTTTTGCATTGCTGGGCTAAAAACCTTTTGAGGACAATCGTGTGTACGGATACTCGTCTATGTGACGAGATTTGAATGTAGCTTGTTTCTGTCAAAACTGTAGATATTTAAAATTTCCTTATTTGTAGTAAATGTCATATGCATTTCGATGCAGATAAGCTTTGCTGTAATGTACAACATTGAATTACTCAACTGATGTCCTGACGACGTCACTATTATGAACTTCGTTTGATGTTTAGAACGTAAATTTTCCCTCTTGGCTGATGTATTATCAGATCATATATAGCGTGCTTCTTCGCGTTAAACTCTGGCGCACATTGCTACTCAGTTTTAAATCTGCCAGCTATGACAAATATAAAGTATGATTTAAAGGAACTTTAAATCAAAAGCTTTTAAATAAAATCCAAGTACAGATGATATTGAATGAGAAGCAATTACCCGCCCATGAGTTTAACGGGATGACGAAGCAACTCATTGAGGTCACGATGATGGCTGTGGTGACACCAAGGAGTGGCCGCGGAGTCCTGCATGCCTGCTCCTATACAACACATAAATTAAATTAACACTGAAGTGATATATGGAAACCTGAAACATTGTGAAGACTTCTTAGCAATGCAACCACAATCTCATCAAACACATAAATCGACACTGACTGGTACATGGAAACGAAAAATATTACGTTAAATAATGACAGATGTCGTATTTTCGACGATAAATTCATCTTTTATAGGCTCCAAAACCTCTAATTGCCATTTTTGTACTGTAAGTGCAAAATGCGACTTGCGAATAAAACACACAAGTATTTTGTGCTAAAAATTTGTGTTTTAGGATTTTGCTTGTTTGTGCTACTTGTAACTTGCAGGGCACTGCCATGCAGACACATGGAGGTGCTTTAAAAAGGATATCCTTCCTCGTCACAAAACGAATATCCTTCCTCCATTTTATTCGTCACCGAATAAAAATGATTGTACATGTAAGCATATTCACTACAATAAAGAACAATAGAAAGTTAGATGTATTATTGACAGAGATGGAATATTAATTTCGCCTGGTAATAAAAGTAACGGAGAGTCTGTTAACCCCATATTACTCGTACAAGGAGCCGTGTTTGAACAAATGTTTATTATTGTTTCTCAAATTTTTCATATAAATTTAGAGACTTTCATTGTCGTTACTTCGATCTGTACGTGTGCGATGTATAGCAAGGTTGTATAGGGTTCCTCGATATTCTATTCGCTTTATTTCATTGTAATCGTTTAAAAATATCGAAACTAGAGCTCAAATGAACGGTAGTATCGTATTGGCGCTGAAGAATAGGCAAAGTTTTGCCTGTCACCGGTTCTTGTAATGCTCTTGACTCGTCACTTGGAGATCTGGCATTTTGTCCAGATCTATCCAAACTGACGTTGAAGCTAAGTATATATAGCTGCTGAACATGCATCAATTTGTGGGGGTTGGGGGCGCTTCTGGTCGGAATCTGCTTTAGGTGAGCTGGAAAGCTCTCCTATACGGACGCCGCATCGTAGGGATGATACCGGCAACAATCCGAGCAAAAACTCAGTTTCGTTTTCGTTCGCCGTTCCCGATTAATGCGGCCACTGCTCGAGCGTGGCGACCTCCAGCTAGTCGTGCAAGGGTTGGGACTTATTGTGTTGCTGCAGGTCAGGCTTTCTTTTAAGAGTATTTATTGGTTTTTAATTTCTTCGAAAGATTTTCTGGTATAATTGCAAGTCAAATTATACGGCGAATTCAAGTTTAACAATAAATGTTTTTTTCTGTGATAATTTTTGCCGCGAAGTTCATTCTCACGACATCTTGCTCTGTCATAACATGGGATGTCAATATTTTTCTTGGTCAGCCGAAAGCGAATAAACATCCGTTGGGTATCCGCCTTGGGATTCCTCAGTTTGCCCGCCCGGCTTTTCCAAGCGCCGCTTTGGAATAGGTAGGCAGGACAGTCACTTTCTTCTTCGGGCCAACTTTCTTTTTCGTCGAGAAGAAATCTTGTCTCATCCTTTCCATCCCAGTTTGGACGATGCGAACTTTCTCAGGCGCGCTGAAGCCCTTGAGGCTTCCTTGTGCAGCGCTTCATTACGAGCTTCAACCCTTCACAGCTAAACGGGACGAATCTGACCTATGATTCCATGTTATTCCTACCTGATTCGTAGAAAAGCATTCGTCAAACTTTTCCATGCAATTCCTACCTGATTTATAATTAAGACATGCTTCAAAGATTTCATTGTATTCGTATACCTGATCGTAAATACAATTAGTACGTGAGTTAAAGCGTCCATGACGTTAATATCCGATTTGTTAATTGAGCAAGCGTCTAAGCTCCCATTTCACACCTGATTTGTAAGTAATGCATTCGTAAAAGCTCCCATGTTATTCTTACCTGATCTAGAAATAATGTAACCGTCAAAAATTACGTTTTTTAGCAGTTTGATTTCGCTTCTTAGGGTGGGGTGTATTGAAGCTCGCGTTGTTTTGAAATGTTGTGTGCCCTACAATTTCACTTTGCTCTAAAGTTTGCTACGGTAAAAGTTTTATTTAACGAAATATGATAACAAAAATGGACGAATATGACGAAGCAAATTTGCAGATGTCGAGCGGATGTTACACCCGTAGTTTTTATCAAGACTCCGACATTTTGGCACTTATGGAAGCTGTGTATTCTGTTCAATATCTTAGGCTATCTATCTTGGTTTCATATTAAATAGTGAATATGATATTTTCTATTTTTCTTTATTGTCACATGTTTCTAACGATTGTTCGTGATTTTTAGCGCATTTTCTTATTTATGGAAAAAATGCACTATTGTGCTCGCCATGTCCGTCTGTTTGTCTGTCCGTCCGTAACCTCAAGTTTTCGTCGACGAGAAAATGCGCTCTCTGTCACTCACTGCAGTGAGTACTGAGTTATATTTTTTCAAATTTGGAGTAAATTTATGTTCATGATACGCACAGCTCTTTTTTTAATGCCATTGCATTTTAGGCCGAGCCCAACCACTTGCATGTTTTTTGCATGAGCTCCCGCGACCACTCTGATATTTCGTAGCGGTCTGCTATATTCATGCGAGTATAATTTATATAGTGTATCATTTTGCTCTGAACTGAATTTAAGTTAAATGACCTGCCAAGCCCGTACACCTGGTCTCTGCTTCAAATAAGATGACCGTCAACTGAACGCTATGAGAAAGCCTCCCAAAAATAACTCAGGACTTCTAGGACTTTCTCTTCTCTGTGACCCGAAAAAAGCTCGCCTTGTCGGCGGTCAAGTCATCACAAGCTGAATCACATTCCGCCACTTCATTAGGAAGCCGGTCTCCGGCCACATTTACGTGCGCTTTATGTTATTCCAGTAACAGATTCATAATTTTTTCGTTTCCCTATAGGTTGAATTCATGTCATATTGTCCATGCAGCAATATTGTTCGGTTCTGAAACCTTATGTATAACACACGTAAAATAAAATACGTCGCTCGCGAGACGTTTTTTCAGCGTTGTTCCTCCAAACAAATTCATTAAAACTATTTTCAAAAATTGACACGTAAAATTGCGTGAATAATTGCGGATAAAATACAAATATATCTTGATCTCTGTAATGATTCATATTACAGGGATAAAAATGTCTCAATACATCAGATGAATTTATAATAATACATCATAATGATTCAATTTTCACCTGAATTCTATATCTTTTCACTTGCCGTGCGCAGCTCCACGCAAACTCTGTCCTTCCTCGCAAAATTTACAAAGAAAAGATGAACGTGTCTCCAGGCACATTCCTGAGCAGCTAACCCTGGAGGCAACTATATAACCTAACATATGAAGACCTGTTATTCACTTCCAGCCTTATACTTAGCACGAGTGCTGCAGGCCACCAAATTATACTCACCGAAAACCAGGGCAAATATTTCATTTCTTAGTTAAAGTTTTGAAACGCATGAGATGCGATGGAAGTAAAGTTTTTAAAAATGGCAATTCATGGAGAAAGTTCCAGAATGTTTCTAAGCTTGATGGAGATTTAGTAATTATAGTTTAATACTGTACTGAATTTGTGTTAAGTTTATTATAAAATCAATGCGTAAGCTCGCCCGTCTTTAGTCATAGAGTATCATGCTGAACCTTCGTCTATTTTCAATATTTTAAATGTTATACACAATTTATGTTTCATCTCGCCTTCATATGTTGGAGAGCTCGTTAGAAAACTCCGCATCTATACTAGACCTCGTCTCTGTTGCAAGCCTGTCATCGCATGCTTTTTCATGGTAAAACCAAGTCATTATAGTTGTTGCGCTGAGCCAGACAACCTGACTTAGAGATTAGCAAACAAATGGGCTCCTCACATAGCCAAATGGAATGATAATGATGCTCTGAAACAGAGAAAGCTGCCTTATTGGCGATGCCCGGCACGATAGCAACTGGTAACATTTCCGCTGTGTATCAAGCTCGTTGCTGAAAGGCCAAGCTAACATGGCTGAAGAAACAACTGAACTTTCTGCTGAGGAAAGTCTACCATTCCCGACTAAATTTTACAAACACATTTTTTTCTTGGAAAAATGTTTACATCATTGTATTTTCATATTTCATTGCATTTTTTACTTTAATATGTTAAATTTTGCAATATGTATTATGTCATTCGATATTTCCTGTGAGTCTTTGTTTTGTGAGTCTTTCGATTTCGACTGCTGCTTCTGTCTGATGTTTTAAATTCATTGCAGCCGTCCTGTTATATAAAAAGATTAAAATTGTAAGCGAGCTCGTTGAAAGCGTCAAATTTATCTCCAACTAACGTTTAAGATTTGGAAATTTAGTTAAGCGCAAGATGGACAGCAGACACGATGAGCTTCCATCTTGCCGAACGGGAACGATGAATAAGCACACGTAATTACCTATTATATTTTAAATCATGACTTTTGTTTGCAGGTGGTGTTATGGCTGGTTGGGGCCATTATAATCCAGCTGTCTGGTGCAGACTACCCAGCACCAAGTGCGTCTTACGGACCGCCCGCCAAGGGTAAAGGCACCGTACAGACGGCGTACGAACCTGCAGTGCAATACGCGGGACCCATCATCTACTCCGACGAGATGCCTCCCATCATCAAGTTCCCAAAGCCTCCTGTCCACCAGGTAATATGAAGGCGTCCATCATCAAGTTCCCAAAGCCTCCTGTCCACCAGGTAATATGAAGGCGTCCATCATCAAGTTTCCAAAGCCTACTGTCCATCAGGTAATGTGAAGGCGTCCATCATAAAATTCCCAAAGCCTCCTGTCCACCAGGGAACGTGGAGGCGTCCATCATCAAGTTCCTAAAGCCTCCTGTCCACCAGGTAATGTGGAGGCGTCCATCATCAAATTCCCTAAGCCTCCTGTCCACCAGGTAATGTGAAGGCGTCCATTAAGTTTAGGCTCCAAGCTGGAAACGTCTTACAGTGTAATACTTGGAAGTCCGGATAAAATGCTATTAAGTACAATAAGTTCCGAGCGATTAATTTCCTTTCACTAATGTTTCGATAACGTTAATCATCTCTGCTGCTCATATATTATAAAAAAGTTGCCCATATCCGGTTTCAAAAACCGTTTGCGTTCATTGCTGAATTAACGAACGTCAGCAGTGACCATGAATGGATCAGACCTGGTAACTGTTGTTTTAAATTCTTTTTTAGGTTTCGGGTGGATATGGAGGAGGTGGTGGCGGATATGGAAAAGGAGGAGGTGGTGCTCCACCCCCAGTCAAATTTGTCCCTCTTCCGCACCACGACCTGCCCGTGCTGATATACCAATCTGATCACAACCCTCCTATTCACGTCGTTCACAACGTGGAAATTGGAGGTGGTGATGGTGGATACGGTGGCGGTGGTGGGAAAGGAAAAGGTGGCGGTGGAGGAGGTAAAGGTAAAGGAGGTGGAGGATACGGTGGTGGGGGAGGAGGAAAAAGCAAAGGAGGTGGGGGCGGAGGATACGGATTAAGTGACATGTTTAGTTTTGGTAAAGGCAAAGGTGGGTCCGGTGGCGGAAAAGGGAAGGGATCATCCGGAGGCTATGGCCCACAACCTGAGTCGTATGGCCCTCCCCCATCCTACGGACCTCCTAAAGCTCCCAGTCCCAGCTATGGCCCCCCTAAAGCCCCTGTTCAGAGCTATGGCCCCCCGAAGGCGCCGATCCAGAGCTATGGCCCTCCAAAAGCACCTGTTCAAAGCTATGGCCCTCCTAAGGCCCCCGTTCAAAGCTATGGCCCCCCAAAGGCGCCAGTCCAGAGCTATGGCCCTCCAAAGGCTCCCGTTCAGAGCTACGGTCCACCTAAGGCCCCCATTCAGAATTACGGTCCACCTAAGGCTCCCGTTCAGAGCTACGGTCCTCCAAAGGCCCCAGTACAAAGCTATGGTCCACCTAAGGCACCCGTTCAGAGTTACGGTCCACCTAAGGCCCCCGTTCAGAGTTACGGTCCTCCTAAGGCCCCTGCTCCCAGTTACGGACCTCCCCAAACTCCTCCTGGAGGCTACGGACCCCCTAAAGCGCAGTCTACAGGTTATGGGGTGCAGTCAGCTGCCTCAGTGAGCTACCCAGTCCCTCATCCCAACGATGCGGTGTACATCCACGCGCCTCCACCGCCCTCGCCTCTCGTAGTGGCTGCTCCACAGCCACAAATCCTTATTGCTGAAATTGTTGACGGTGGTAAAGGAAAAGGAGGCGGAGGCTTCTTCGGTGGTGGAAAGGGTAAAGGAGGAGGAGGGGGAGGAGGATATGGTGGTGGAGGTGGCAAAGGGAAAGGAGGTGGAGGAGGAGGATACGGGGGCGGAGGTGGAAAAGGAAAAGGAGGAGGCTTCTCATCGATGTTCAGCAAAGGAAAAGGTGGAGATGACTACGGCGGTGGTTACGAAGATGACTATGGTGGTGGTGGTGGTATCTTCACTGACTTCTTCTCAAAAGGGAAGGGCGGTGGAGGTAAGGGAGGTGGAGGAAAAGGAGGTGGAGGTAAGGGAGGTGGAAAGGGAGTATCTGAGAGTTACGGACCTCCTCCAACTCAGTCATACGGACCTCCCAAGGCTTTGCCTCCCCCTCATATTATCTACGCCGGCCATCCCCCCATCCACGTGTACCAGCAGCCCCCGGTGTACCAGATCTCCGGTGCAATTCACACCGACGGTGGAGGCTCCAAATCGAAGGGAGGATCAGGCTTCAGTCTCTTCGGAGGGAAAGGAAAAGGGGGAGGTGGCGGTAAAGGGAAAGGAGGTGGAGGTGGTGGATATGGTGGCGGCGGTGGAGGAAAAGGTAAAGGTAAAGGAGGTGGTGGAGGAGGTGGCAGTTATGGTCCACCCCCGTCTTATGGGCCACCTCCTCCATCTTATGGTCCTCCCCCACAGTCTTATGGTCCACCGAAAGCTCCTCCGCCATCGTATGGACCACCACCCAAAGCTTCTGTAGGTTATGGCCCACCTAAGGCTCCTCAGCAATCATATGGACCGCCTCATAAGCCAGCACCCACTTATGGCCCGCCGCCTAAGGCTCCAGCTCCTTCTTATGGACCCCCTAAGGCTCCAGCTCCTTCTTATGGACCCCCTAAAGCTCCAGCTCCTTCTTATGGGCCCCCTAAGGCTCCAGCTCCTTCTTATGGACCCCCTAAGGCTCCTGCTCCTTCGTATGGACCCCCTAAGGCTCCAGCTCCTGCTTATGGACCCCCTAAGGCTCCAGCACCAGCTTATGGGCCACCTAAGGCTCCTCAATTAGGATACGGGCCTCCAAAGGAGCAATCTTTGACGTACATCCCCGCTATCCTGGTCGAGGTTGATGACTATGAGGATTCTGGGAAAGGTAAAGGGAAGGGTGGCGGATTCTTCGAAAGTTTCGGATTTGGTGGAGGAAAAGGTAAAGGTGGTGGTGGTGGATATGGAGGAAGTGGCGGTAAAGGAAAAGGAGGTGGCGGTGGTGGGTACGGCGGTGGTGGTGGCAAAGGAAAAGGAGGAGGTGGAGGATATGGTGGCGGAGGAGGCGGCAAAGGAAAAGGAGGAGGTGGGGGTGGATATGGCGGAGGAGGCAAAGGAAAGGGTGGTGGTGGCGGAGGATACGGAGGCGGTGGAGGTAAAGGCAAAGGAAGTTTATTCGGTGGTAAAGGTAAAGGCTCTGGTGGAGGAGGCGGAGGTTATGGCGGTGGAGGCAAATCTCAACCTGCCTATATACCGGCACCCAAAGAATTACATAAGCCCCCTATCATCATTTACCAAGGCGTCCGTCCCCCTGTACATGTATACGAGGCCCCGTCTTCTGGATACGGGCCTCCTCCAAAAGGTTCAGGTTATGGGGACGGTGGAATAGGAGGAGGTGGAGTCCATTTAGGAGGTGGTGGTCATGGAGGAAGTCACGGAGGATTTATAGGAGGAGGTGGTGAATCTTATGCACCGCCCTTATCATATGGCGCTCCTAAAGGAGAGGATATCGTCAATAAAGGAGGCGGAGGATATCATAGAAGATCATCGAGCGTAGATGCTGTAGCCGCTCCTTCTGAAACCAGCGGTTACTCTTCAGTCTCGTCGTCAGCTTCAGTCTCGCCATCCGTAAGTCCTGACACTCACATTGAAACGCCATTGTCACATTTTAGTATAGATGCAAATTTCCACGATGTCCCGAAAGCCGATGATATTTACAAGAACGTTCAGGAGGATTTAACCCCAACTCCAGGAGTGAGCAATACTGTTCGCGTTCTCGACACCAACAGCGTCGTGGAACCACGAGCAATCGAGAGGGTTGAACAGAGCAGGAGTGAGGCCCACGTCACCGCTTCAGTGTCCGTGAGCAGCAACCAAAATGTTGATGATTCTGCTTACGACTCATCAGACTCGCAGGCAAATAATAGACAAGCTAAAAGCCTACCACTGTCTGAGGGTTCTGATAGTAAAAAGGAAGATGATAAGGAATGATAATTTATATAAGGCTTAGATTTTTTGTTAGTGGTGCGCTGGAAATTCATTTAAAATGGTGCGGTATTTTTGTAACATTGAAGGCTATTCACGCTATTAGCTTGATAGCTGGCACATGCATTGAAAGGAAATATCAACGATTGGTCAAGAATGAGAGCTATTGCAGGAAGAATTGTAGTCCAGTTACCATTGAATGCACTTATAAATAATTGCTTTTATAAAAATTCTAAAGGAGCTTCAAATGTGTATTTTAAGTTCGGAGAAACGTACTGGAAATGCATGGGCATATGCAGTTTGAAATATTTTCGTTCTGATGAGAATAGAGCGGCAGAGAGGATATGATAATAAAGCGTTATTTCAGTGCAAGATATAGCGTACACGCAGACCAACTGTTGACTTCACCAACTGTACATAAATGTATAAGACTAATGTACTCCGTATAAAAGCTGTTGAATCCCTGCACTGTACCTTGATGTCGCCATTTCTCTGTAATTAATCGGTTGAATTTGTTTTCCGTTTTTTTGGTGCGTTTTCTAAAATATGGAGATTCTCACCTAATTATATAAATTGCCAAAGGTTGCACGGCATGTAAATAAACATTTCTTGACTACAGCAATATCTGACCTTAACAATCAATGTATAGTTTTGTCTCCTCGTTGATGCACTTTAAGCATGTGCTATGCGAATACCAATACTTTTTTCGATAAAATAGAAAGAAATTATCCAGGATTGCAATATGAGAGTTTACACAGCTTAATTTGTAGATGATACTGAAACTCGTATGGCTGATCCGAATAATGTGTTGTTATTGCTGTTATTTTCATGACTTTGTAAAATTCCAAAATTTCTATAAAAATGCAACAGGCATTTCTTAAAACCCTTGTATCTTCCATATTCTAATTATTGTTGAAATCTTACAATTATTTCGTGTTGACAATTTCAAATCATTGTAATGTCGACAACGTATGAATTTTTTTTAGATCTGAATTTTAGCATTTCAATTTGTACTTGCCAATGAACTGTTGTTTGCTGATTTCTTTTTACTTTATTAAAATTCAATAACGATGAGAAGCGCCTGTATGTGTCTTTTTTTTTGTTTGTGTATGTGTGTGTTACCGCCCTATTTGTACGTTAAATGCGAACAGATATCGTGATGTTGATACCGTTCCTCAAACTCGCGTTCCTCAAAGTGCGTATTGAAAGTGAGAAAAACTTTCTCTGTGTTTCGCAAATTGTAGTCAATACGAAGTATTTTCTATGAAAAAAGTAGTAGCTGTTGTAGGAGGCAAAATTGTTCTTCGAATGTACGATACGTCACTTTGAATGTTATTTATTGATATTGTACGTTAACAATCCTGTGTTTCATTTCCCTCTCATGACTGCAAGCAAAATATCAATTACCTACTGCGTATAAATTATAAGTTATTTCAATGTTCGGAATGTTGAACTTGCTGTTGCTGATGAAACAGTTTCATTTAAAATACCTATTTTGTTAGTATAACAAAATTTTGGTACTTGTGACTTTAGAATCTAACATTAAGCGTTCAGTCTAACGCCATCGAATGCATCGCAAATTATAGTCGATAATAATTCAAAATGAATTAAATAATTAGAAAATTGTGAAATGTAAATATTCCGTATCTTCGTCTTTTTATCCGCAATAAATTCCTGCTTCCGGAACTATTTCTTAACAATTTGAAGCTGCAATCAAACTTGACATCCCGTCAAAAACTTATATTCCCGACGTCGTTTTTTATTATTAACACTGACAATCATGAAGAAGATATTTATTATGAATGATAAATTATAATGAAGAAGATATTTAATTTGGAGACAAGTGCAGCTGCATAAAAATGACGCTGCACCCCTGCACCTCCCGTCAACATGCGTGGGCGTTGTAGCCCCATTAAGTTTGAATGTTTTATTTTGATGGTCTGGATGTTGAGTGGGTTTTCTAATTGGGCTTTCAGTGGAAAGTTTGTGCTTTTTTACGCACAAAGTTTGTGCTTTACGTATAAAATTCGTAAAATTTTCTATGAGTGTTCACAACTTTTTGAAAGGCTGTGAGAAATTTTGTTCGGAGATTGACTAAGCTTCATTAGAGATAAAAAGTAATTTAAACCTCTTAAGGCTGTATTTCTAAAATGACCCCATCCAAAATACGTATAACAGTTTTTTCCCTGTTGTTGTTTATATCTGTTCATTAGGTCAATTCTCTACTCGTTCTAATCTCCCATCTGTGGTCACAACTTCGGAGAATGGTAGTACTGAGAGCAATACTGAAGAAATGTTATCTGCTACCGTCAAGTAAATAGTATCAGAGGTTAGGAGAAGTGTGCAAGCAATAAATGTTGATGTGAATGGTTTATTGTGAGTTATAGATGACGTCACCCACCAATATAGATGACGTCACCCACCAATACCGGTACAGTCATTAGTCGTTAAAATATGTCATTAAATACGTAGTTACCGCGACACACTATTTAGTGAACACTTGCTTCATCGCATATCTAGCATGTACTCATAGCTCAAAAAGAGAGCGGACGTAGCACTGGTACGCCGATTTGCCTGGCCAAATTGGGTCAGGCTGAACCACGGAAGGCAAAAAGTGCATCACTACTTGGAAAAGTATCGCTCATTTCCCTGAGTGTAAGCAGTGTGCAGGAGGATGCATGAGACGGGCTCGGCGAGACAGAGGGGGTGATGTGAGGGTAGTCTTAGTGGAGGTGTGGGGGTGATGTGAGGGTAATCTTAGTGGAGGTGTGAGGGGGTGATGTGAGGGTAATCTTAGTGGAGGTGCTAGGGAGGGTGGCTGGTGGTGGAGGGGGGGTCCACTAAGTCATATTTCTTAACACTTCAACTGCGACTACCAAAATGGTCTTACAAAATTTTTTATGGCCAATGAAGGAATAACTTCATCATTGATTATATCAAAAAGATGGTTTTATGATGGATTATATATAAAAGATGGAGTATATCAATAGATGGTTATATAAAAGATTATATCAATACAAATTTACTTCATGGCGTCCTAACAATTTCCCAACATTAAATTATTTGAAATCACTCGCCTTGCCTCCTGAATTTACGAGGATCACAAAACTCACGATGATTCACCTATTTGTTCCATCCAGGTTTCGGTGTTAACCCACGATTATTCGTACAATTATATAAGCATATTTTACAGCATCATGTAATAATATATAATTATAAAATCATCCAGCATAGAGCTGTATAAATTGAACAGATAGAAGTGGTAAACATCAGGCCCAGCCCTGCCCGCTGCCCGGGCGTGTGGGCGTGGGTGCCGCAGTGCCCGCTTTGCTCGTCACTGCTGAGCGCTCAACCGCAAGAGACGCAGTCAGCCTACGCGGCTCTTGAGCAACGCTCTTTTACGTTCTTGCTCTCGTGTTTGTTTGTAAAACTGTGAATTTTTCGTTGTGACACTTGCAAAATAGTGTATACTGAATGTGTGAGATAGTCAGAAAAACAAAAATTTTGACAGGAGATATGAGCAATAGCAGGACGATGGTAAAGTTAACAAGCACAAGGATAAGATAGCGCAGGAACCCTTGTCACCAGGCGGCCCTTCCCTCCTTATGTACAGAGCGTGAAGGAGCCTTGTGTAGTATCCCTAAGGGGTTCAGACTTTTGAGTGTCTCGTGGACCAAGATTTTGATATACATTCATATTTGCTATTAATTTGGTCATAATTACATTTTTTCTACGTTCTTAAGTCTCTTTCAAAGTATATTTTTGTATCTATACATGATAGTCTCCTAAATAACCAAGTTATGACAATAAAATGTGAATTTCTGGTCTTGGCGTTGAATGTAGTCTCATACGCCCTCAAAACGCAATAATAAAGTAATTCTTAAGTTTTATTTTCTCAGTGTAGACCGAGCGGCACTCTCTGTGCAGATGAGAGTTCAGTGTAGACATTGTCAGTGTACGCACGGTAGTGTTGTTATATAGCAGTGAGAGCAGTTGGATAGCAGTGAGGCAGTGAGGGCAGTTGGATAGCAGTGAGGCAGTGAGGGCAGTTGGATAGCAGTGAGGCAGTGAGGGCAGTTGGGTAGCAGTGAGGGCAGTTGGATAGCAGTGAGGCAGTGAGGGCAGTTGGATAGCAGTGAGGCAGTGAGGGCAGTTGGATAGCAGTGAGGGCAGTTGGATAGCAGTGAGGCAGTGAGGGCGCCTCTTGGTCTCAGCGCATGAATGAAGTCTCTGTCCCTCACCATGTGCTGGCCTCAATACATGCATGGCGCTTGTTCATCCTTGGTCATTATAAGTTTAATTGTTAATGTGTATTTAAAAATTACATACATATACTGCTCTGGGCGTTACATCAATTCTATTGGGGATTCAAGTGAATGATACGTAGTAGATTCATTTAACCTGATGAAGCGCGATTATCCAAAACTCGCTACCTTAGCCTAAAATTTCATACAAATTACTGATGAATCGCACGTAAATGGCCAGTGCGAATCAAGAGACCGGACGCGATGACTGGCAAAGGCTATACAGCTTCGAGGCTCCCACGCAGATTGTGTGTCGGGAGACTGTGGGCGCGTAGCTCAACCTCTAAGCCCAGCTGTACATATATGTCGTCCTTCAAAAAGCCATTTTTATTTATGAATTAAACTCATTCATCCAATTGCACAAATATTTCGCCTTTAATTTCAAGCTACGTATTTACCAGGTGGACAAATATGTCGCCTGTCAAATTTTTCCAATGAATAAATTTCAACAACGTATGGATGCAGTGTGATATTTTGCACTCGCAAGAAAATTGGTCCCTAAAGTGTTCATATTATAACAGTCGGTGAAAATTATAGTCAGAGGAAAACAAGAATAACGAAAGCTGTAATTATATTATTTTTTATTGAGTACCGTAACTGTTAAACATGTTCAATTAGACGATCTAAAAACTGTAATTTGAAGCCAAGAAACTTTAAGCTAGCGATTTATTTCGGTTCATTTACCGATAGTGAAATTACCTCAAGTTTATAGAAAGAGTTCTGAACGAATCTCGGCAATTTCGTAATATTCTTGGTTTAAAAGTTAACAGCTCCTCAAATAAGTTATTCCAAATATTTTTGTATCTGTTCACTTAATAATTACATAATATGAAGAATATTTTTAAGATGTGTACCTATGGAATTTTTATTAACTTTAAGTTTCAAAGAGAGGCTATTAATAAACATTAAATTTTTCAGCCAGTATCTGGGCAGAATGAAGCAGCAGTGGTTTGTAGTCGTGCTGCTGTTGGTGGCTGCTGCAGCTGCGACGGAGGTAATTAAGTTTACTTGATTTGTTGCGTCAATATTAACGGTACTCTTAAAAAGATTATTTGTGGAGCAATAGGGTCCATAAACTTTATTGCATCAGTTTTTTGCACTATCCCTAAAAATGAAACAATTGGGGAGCCATATTGTTACCAACTTTGTTGCTTCATTTTGTGGTGTACCACTAAATGATATTACAATTATTATAGTGTGGAGCCAAAATCCACCCCACATTTTACGTTGAATTAAGCGTTGTTTCATTCAATAGACGTTGATTAGCCGCTGCTTCAGAGTTGTTCACACGTGTGGTGCAAGTCACCGATGTTGACACAGCGAACAAACTTGAGGTCATGTGGCGCCGCGGCATCGCTGCTATAGGCGCTCGCTTGAGAAATGAAACTCTAGCACACGATGCATCTGACGCGGCATTAACTTCATTTGAACGTTATAGTCTAAAATAAATCAACTCGCAATTAACGTATTTTTAAACATCATTTTCCTGGAGTTTAGGAGTAGCTTAAAAAAATCAAAGTTATAATACCAGAAGGAAAATGACCGACAGAAATATACTCTGGCAAAGTTAATTAAAAATATTTGCTTGAATGCGAAACAATTTGATTTTACGATTTGGGAATGGAAAACAAGTTGATAGCAAAGTAGGAAGTAGTGTTCTCTCACTTTTTATTTATTTGCCTAATCGGGCTTCTGTGCACCTTACAAAGAAACGAAATTTCAATTCGGATTAGGATGTGAATGCCGTGTATAAACATGAGGTCAGAATATGACATGTAATTCCGAGTTTATAGGCAAGGAAAAAGCTGAGTAATGATTCTTAGATAATTTAAAGCATACTAATAATTTAAGAAGTAATTTCTAATACCAATCAGATGTTTGTACCACATCCGTCTATTTATTCTCCGGTCTACTTTCTACATAACATCCGGAACTTTGAACCCTCACATTGTATTATCGTGTGAGGGTACGCACTATAATTTGCAGAGCAGGCCTATCTTTTTCCTGAGCTATATATGCACCATCCATGAGGCGAGGCTGCCATCATACCCTGCTGCTTACTGATGTTACAAGGATACGTGTTTCCTGTGTGAAATAATGAACATAACTTAAAAAGGAATAGCATATCATATAACTTAACATAACATACCATAACATAACATAACATAACGTAACATAACATAACGTAACATAACATACCATAGTATAAAATAACATAACAGCCAATAAAAATAATACAATTTGGCCAGGGATTCGACGTGCGCTTAATTAATAGACACAATTAATGGGCAATTAATAGGCCCTTTATGACAGCCGAAAATATGAAACATTTTTATGACACTTTATTTGTTGAGTGGGAATCAACTTTTCTAATTTCAATTATTCCAACAATTCAACATTTGAAGTTTACATATTTTCTGCGTCGTCCACAAATTGGAACTGTTATAACCCTTTTGTCGTTGTTTTTTCTATTGATAATTATAAAGCGTCTTGCATTAATTTGAGCTTTGATTTAACACACACAGAAGCAGAAGAGCGACAAAAAGCACAACAAAATCAGCGAGATCGAGAAGAAACTGGATGCTCTTCTTGAGCTTGAAGCCGAGGTTGGTGTTATACTAGAGTTATTTTATATGAAGATATTATGCAACTATTGCAAATAATTCTACACGCTCACTTTCATAGGTCAGCACAGAACGAGCAGCATTATAATAGAAAAAATATTATGATAATATAAGCAGAATTAATAAAATTTTGAATTTTTTCACGAAAAAAATGAATTTTTTCGTGCAATAGTACGAAAATTTGTCTTCAATTCGCACAGTTTAGCTTAACGTATTTCTTATTTGTTAAATGAAATATCAACACTAAACCTTGGGCATGCCGTTAAAAGTATATAATATTTTTTAGCTGGAAAATGAGATAATTGACGCCGCAAAAGACGAAGAAGAAGGCGATGCTGAAGAGGAAGAGGCCCAGGACATGCAGCGGGAAGACCCTAAAATCTATCAGATCGACGTCCAAGAAGGTAACGTATACCAGACGTTAAAAAATTGTCAAATTTTTTAGGTCTGTAAAAATAATGAAACTTTCAGCGCAGAAAATTTCAGTGTAGCTCGCCGTTCTTTAATAATAACAATATTAAACAAATCAATACACGCTGATGTTCGGTCAGAATCGTGGAAATGAAGTGACTCAAGTGACGTGCGCAATTGTCACAATAAACTTAATGTAACAGTACTGCTGTTCATCTTACTCTTCATCCGAGTTTTTGTTGGTGACTTGAATGACTACAAAAACGAAATATTCAAGAGATTAAAATTATCAAGATTGGACAAGCTGGAGCCAGTGCTCACCATGTCTTCTTTAAAAATTTAAAAGAGATCATAACCATGATCACCCAGTACATCCGGCCTCTTGAATCGGTGTTCTCCTAGTCTTATATTATTGAGTGTAAGGGCAAAAGGCGAAGAAGGAGGCTAATAATTTAGCTGGCAGAAATTGTCTCAATAAACCTATGAGTCGAAGTACCGCTCCAATAACCAACATTAAGCCTTTCTTCCCCCCCAAGACCCATGCGCGGGCGTCCCATGTCCCGCCGGCCGTTCTTGCGTCGTGACGATGTCGGGCAAAGGCGCCTGCCAGTGCGTCACCGCCTGCGAGGAGGAGACCGACCCCAGGAGGAGGGTGAGGAGGGCTTGTGCTCGGTAGACCGGCCTCAGGAGGAGGGTGAAAGGACTTGCGTGTATGAGACCGACCCCGGGAGAAGGGTGAGGAGGGCTTGTGTTTAGGAGACCGGCCCCAGGAGGAGAGTGAGGGGACTTACGTGTAGGAGGCCTACCTCAGGAAGAGTGTGAGGGGACCTACGGTTAAGAGACCGACTCATGGGGAGGGTGAGCGGGACTTATATGTATGCGGCCGACCCCAGGAGAAGGTTGAGGGGACTTTTGTGTAGGAGACTGACCTCAGGAGGAGGATGAAGGGGACTTACATCTAGAAGGTTACTATCCTCAAAAGGAGGATAGTAACCACCCAAAACATACCATGCATGCATGTAATAATGCTATTCATGATCAATGAACCATTGACCAAATAGCAAAGCACAAGTAGCACTGATATGCCAAATGCTAGGACAAATTGTGTCAGGATGACTCACACATGGGCGACGAATGCATCGCTTTACGGACAATTCTCTCTCATTTCTCTGAGCGTTACCTTTGTTTGCCCCGCCAGGTGTGCAGTAACCACAATGAAACATGGATGACAGACTGCGACCTGCACCGCCAGCGATGCCTGTGCGAAGACGGGCTCGCCGGCTGTCAGGACGACAAGTACAAACATCTTCACATCGACTACTATGGCCAGTGCCAGCAGTTGCCGGTACGAGACCACTTCTGTTACAAATGAAAAGTTATTCCTACAGCTCATAATTCCGATTTCCTGTTGAAGCGCAAATCCTGTCAAGTGCCTGCAGTTGTCGGTGCAAATTTCGATCACTTCTTTTCCAAAGAGACCGTTATTTCATAAGTTCGCAATGTAAATTCTTTTTTAAGTGGTACATGCATGGTGGCTAATATCGGCCGTTGCCGATGAAAATTTTGATTTTCTCCGTTTCAAATAGACGATTATTCCAATAATTCACAATTTATGTTTCATTTTGAATTTGCATTTATGAACAAAAATTTCGGAGCAAATACCCAAGATATTCGCTGAGTTTTCATAGCCAAGACGTCAAATGACACAATGTAATATAATTTTTTTTTTATGTTTGAAAGACCGAACATTATTCTCTCCTGATTCCCAGAGTGGTGATATAACATGGTTCTCCTCGTCCGCGTTCATTAATATGCACAGAAGGATAGATCACGCTCGTTCGACAAATTTCTATTGAAGTAAATAGATTTCACTTATCACATTCACTCATGAAATGAACGGAGTTTCAGAAGAAGTAGACTTCAGAGGAGAATGCTAGTTCAGCGTCCACCACCTATAACCCTTATTATGTGTTTCGGACGAAGTAGTTTCAGACCACACTGGAGACCTAAAATAATAAAAACCAATAGACCTAAAATACGTCAGTCCATGGTAATCTCCAGTCTGATTTTCCTAAATACTTCCATAACCGCGGTCGGAATATCCGCTATTTTGTGCCTTCACGACAAGTCCCATGCACACAGGAATGAGAGTCAGAGGATCCAGCGGACCCGCAGCGCATGCGCGAGTGACTGTTTGCTGTGATGCGTGACGATGAATATTAAATATCTTCACGTTATTTAGTTAAATAGTTTCATGCAATTCCAAATGTCCCAGGAATGTGAGCCAGAGGATCTAGCAGACTTCCCGCGGCGCATGCGCGAGTGGCTGTTCAGCGTGATGCGTGACATGGCCGACCGCCACATCCTGTCGGCGCACTACGAGAAGCTCGAGCGCGAGGCCGAGGATGACGAGACTCAGAAGTGGAGTAACGCTGTCGTCTGGAAGTGGTGTGATCTCGACGGACCACCTAAAGACAAGTCAGTGTCTAGTACCCACCCATTTTTTATTTGTTTTCTTTTGAAAGACCCAACATTATTGTCTCTAGATCCCCAGAGTGATATCAGACATAATTATTCTCTGCTGATCCCCAGGGTGGTGTCCCGTCACGAGCTATTCCCCCTGCGCGCCCCGCTCCTCACCCTGGAGCACTGCATCGCCCCCTTCCTGGACTCTTGTGACCCTAACGACGACCACAAGATAACTCTCAAGGAATGGGGCGTCTGCCTAAAACTCGATGAGGTCGGTCACATTCATCTAGGAGGATTCTTAAGCATCGTTTCCATCTTCCTGGTAACAAAATCAGAGAGCTTCAACTATGGTATGAGTCGACTAAGTGCAGCTTTCATCATATTGATAAAAAAGTCGCAACGCATATGTATGCAATGTCCCGAAAAAACTGTAAAAAACGGTCTGACTGGCGGTTGAGTTGCCGAGCGTCCCGTGAAATTCATCAATGGTGGTTTGGGCTTCTCACAAAATTTGTAAAAAAAACGGTAAATTGGTTTTAATTCACGAGGCGGCCGCCGCTAAAACACCAAACAGACCGTTTGTTTCCAACAGTGTGTTATGGGTCGATAGAACGCAGCAATCATCTCATTGATCACACAATTAATATAGTTTGCAGGTGAAAATTGACGAAGAAACGACTGTGTAGGTTTCCTTAGTGATTAGGTTTTTTTTAATACATCCGCTTAAATTAGGCAAAATTTCTTACTACATATCTCATAAGGATTGGTTTAACTATATTAACAGCTATAAATGTTTAAACATCTTGTGAAAGGATTATATACAATCATCGTTAAGGAATCTCTTACGACTCAACATTCAGCGTGTAACGAAAGTCGTAATGAACATTGTTTAAGAATAAATTGAATTGTATAAAATCAACGATAGGTATCCAAGAACAATAATATTATGACTCTACTAATGATTTAATATATTATATTATTGTGATCAACAGGAGGACGTGGCTGACATGGACGATCTGTGTGAAGACATCCGTGACCAAGAGGCCAAGCCAGTGAAAAAAATCTAAAACACTTTTAGATTTAGCGTAAAAACATTCATATTCGGACTCACTTTTTTGTGCACTTGATAGACTATTGCGATAGACTATTTGTATGGTAACGAGATCTCGGTTCAAACAGTTCATGACAAAATATTCATTTTTAAACCTTTCTTTTAGTTAGCGAACTTCTGTTTTCTTTTGGTTTTTAATCTTACATTGCTCTGTATTTTTAAGTTAAATCTTACTAAATAACATTTTACGAATATACCACTGCCATTTTGTAGCAATTAACAGTTAAGAAATGCAAAACAACTCAAGCCAGAAGTCATCATGAATCAAAAATATCGCCTCCGAAATCACATTTAATAAAGAGCATGCAACTATCGTCGTATTTTATCCAATGAACGTTATTGATGAACGTTGAACACAGCGATCTGCTAATTCTTCGTCGCGATGATTATAATTTTCGGTATTTTTTTTTTTAAATTGAATCCGTGTTCTTATGGATAGTTTGTACGAATAAAGCAAAATGCGCACGAAGGGCATCACAAACAACAGAGGTATATGTGTTTTTACTTGAATTTTATCAGCAACGTAGTATCAGGAGCGAATTTACAGCGTATTATTAATCAGTTTCGTCAGATGTCATAGCAGAATATATAAATATATTCGCGATAAGCATTACTTTATTTCCAAATAAAATTTCCTTGCCTTCGATTGATTTTAATTTGCATTTATAACTAATTTTGTATCGCACAAAAATTCTTCCATTGCGTGGATGTAATTTCACAGCGGAGAGTTTTTTTTTTCAGCATGCAAAAATCTGCGTGATACTCTCCCTTTGTTCCATTCAGATCATGGTGGAATTTACATTTTTACATTGTTTGTAACTCTTCAGTGATCTAAAAAGTATTCATTAGGTATTAAATCAGTTGATAGTACTTTTCTTGTACCCAATATAAATCCTTTCTCCTTCCAGGCAAACTCATGCCAGGAAACAATCATATGCAGCTGAATCCAGGAGTTCGCAAATGAATTGTAATAGACTACGAGTGAAAAAGACGTTTTCTTTGAAGTCATCACTTCAATTTTGAGGAGTATCTCATGTTTTCCCTTTTAAAAATCCGATTCTGAATTACAGTGGATTAACCAATTCTATTTTTCTAACTTAGCTCGAGGATAGGTAAACTTTGTACGAAGTATAGTAGAAGGATACAGAACGGCAGGATAAAGTCACATCGAAAACGTAGAACTTGAATTTGATATATTAGTATGAATATATGTACATGATAGATGTATGGATGCTTCAAAACATAATTATAATTTTTAAAAGCAGGTAATGTTGCAAATGAGGCCAATAAGACCTCTCAATCAAAGCTTATTTCGGTTCAAGAAACCGTGATAAATCAACTACAGTTATATAAGTGAAAAATAGGGTTTGGACACCTCTCCCACACATGTGGGAAAATTCCCATCACAAAAAATTACACTTTGTATCTTGTGAAAAATAATACTAAATTGCCCAGAATAAAAGAGAACATTCGTTGAATTTCAGGTTTTGAATGTTCTCTAGTAATCGTCCGCAATATGTTTTTGGTTTTTCAAACAACGTAACTCTGGTAAGAGCATCAACTTCACTGATCAAGGTCTCGCGCCCTCGCCACAGGAATAAAAATGTTGTGGTCGATGGCAGGGAACTGAACCCGCGACGATACGTCCCATACTGGTAATACGAATACATAAAAAATAATAGATCAACAGATGAGAGTTTTTTCACGCTCCAATAATGATCAAATTAGCTCTATGAAGCGGACACAGGAAAAAGGAAGTCGAAGCAGTGCCCACAGTTCAAACGAATACCAGAGTATAGATTGTTGACGCAATGTTCCAAGCATGTCTGGTGGACACAACGGACCTCCGCCGATTGTAAGAAAGAATAGCTGTCTAATGCTACGGTTTTGGGAACATTGCGCACTCAATTCACGAGTTCTCTGTCTAGGCTAGAATAAAATGGCCATGAGAAAGAGTTTGAGTGCTTTGGAGATAGTTTACTTATGTATGTTAATTTATTCTACTGGCAAGATATTTGACAAAATGATTCATGAATTATTCAGGAATGTTACTTAACAGAAAGAGTTCGGTCTGCCGCACTATAAAATGTATCGTCTGAGACTCTAACGATATTTACGTTTCTTATTTGGAATAGATGAAATTTTATCGAGAATCTCTTATTTACTTATTTTGATGCTCTAAGCTTCAATGAGAGATAAATGCCCTTTTACATCTAAACCAATCTAATTATTATTGAGCGTTTGTGGCAGCCTGTTTCTAAACGACAACTGAGTTTAAAAAAATATAAAGCCTAAATCAAGACAACTTCTCTTTCACACTTTAAATTAAATGAAATTTCTTTCGCAGAAACGGAATGTTTGTCAATGCAAACCACATCGTAACCCTTTGTTATGAGTTGCTGTTGCCAGACACTGCATCATTCTCCGACAGCTGATTCTGATCGCCGGCGAGGACGACTTAAAAAATGTTTTAGAAATTAATATAATCCCATGTCATGTCCTAAAATGTTATTTTTATTCAAGGCTTAAATAAGTCACTCACCGTTTGGAGGTTTTCGTTTGACTGGACAGAATCACCTTAAAATAATTACATTTAAATGTTCTAGCAATCAACTTCGAAGATTTCGGTTTTCTTCCGCAGTTTCTAGACAAGAAAAATCACGGGCAAGAAACTAAGCTGAGTGAACACGTGTCATCTGAAGTTAAAACTGAAGGAAGCTATCATCACTATGTGTGGATAGTATGGGTATAATGGAGGTTAACACTATAAGTCGATATTATCTCCTAGGTAATTTTTTAGATAGTTTAAGGTTATTAATTATTAACATTTTTTTTATTCTGAAATTAGTCGAAATCATTTGTACCTGGTACGCCAGAAACGTGTTCAAAGTTTGAATGCTTGAATATCATGCAAAATTATTCATCGCAAAGCCTGAAATTTTCTTAAAATTTGACTTGCACATTCGCAAGCTGCAGATGTATGCCAGACACCGTTACTTTATTATAGTATGTACTGTAAAAAAGTATGGTTGTCAAATTGTAAAAATTGGCCATTCATATTCAAAACATCACTATTAATTAGGTTTGTGTATAATTTATTAGAATAACTTTGTTATGTTTTTAGCTTTGTATTAACCAATCAGTCGTCATGTTGTAAAGTTAGTGAGTGGATCTTATTTTTTCACTGAGCCAAACCGTTTTCCCTGGTGGTACACGTGCGCCACCTGCAGTTCAGCGTCAACAGCGCCTCATCACTGCCGACGATCAGCACCCACTCCCAAATGCACCCCTTTTACCTGATTCAGTCTTTAAAGTCTTTAAAAATTTAATGTATTTAGATTTATGAAACTTTTTTGACCGGGGTTTTGCTTCTTGGCATCAATTTTCAAAGTTGGAACAAAATATGTGCCTGAAGGTGATTTTATTGATAGAGCAGGCTTGAGTATAGTTACAATTTATGATTAGGAAAATTCCAAGTAAAGGCCACATTCAGTTGCACTAAAGAAATTACATCAAAAAATCAACTTTGAAGCTTGATGCATATATGTGCTAGTATTCAATTAGAATTATTATATAAATTTACTTGTTTGTTTTTATCGTCCGTAGAGTGTCTGCCGTTTTTCTAGAATTTCGCAGATCATGTTAGTGAGTGATTAAAATTTTCTTTATGAAAACGGCTTTCAAAGGTCAAAAAGCTTAGTCTTCTTTTCTGCATATTATTTCTGTAAAAAAAAAACTTGATACATGCTTGTACTTTTTAAACCTGATACAGTAATTAATACGTCGGTTGTAGTTTTATTGGTTAGGCAGGCAGGCATCCAGGCAAAGTAGTGTGCGTCGTCTGTCGTGAGAAAATGTTGGTTGGTGTGGCGGCCAGAAGGTGTCAACTTAACCGACACTTGAGGACACCACGGCAACAGCGCCGCATAACTGCAGCTGACTTATACCAGAGCTGCCAGATAGCGCCATTTGTGATTTGTAAGTCAGTTAACATTTTTAGTCAAGATAAAATCCAATGTAGATAAAGTTGTAATGCTCAATTACTTTTTTTATGTATTTTAGCGTCAGAGCTCATACATTCCCAACCGTTTTCATGTAGCAGTTTGATGAAAATAACAGAGAGACTAAGAGAGCGAGTGTAGCAATTGGTTCTAGGCTTCATTCAAGCTGGTAGCGTCTAGCGTTTAGCCGCATGGCAAGTGAGAATATGAGAAACTTCAGTTCTCACATGAATATCTACTTCATATAAAATCAACAATACCACCAAGAGATTCGCACATACGATTGCGAAAGGCAAAGTAAACGGTTGACTTCATTCAATTTGAAGGCAGCATTACTTTTTTATGACAATTCTTGTACTTGAATCTAAGGAAGATGACGTAGAAATTATTATCCGTTTGTTTCTCATATGTTGGGGTTAATTTTGTGCTCTGAGAAAGTAATTAGAATAGTGACATCATTCCATCAATAATGAGTGTAAATTTTATCTCGTGTATTTTATCTCTCGTATTTTAAAAATGCCTGTCATTCCTATATTGACGACGAAAGAATAAATAATAAATTGATAAAGCGCTACTAATATTATAATAGCCCAGAAAAATACCAACCCATCAAGTGAATTTATCTATTTCCCGGGAAGAACAAATCCACACCTCGAAAATATGGTACGAGTAATACGAACAATGATTATTTATTTCCAAGGCTTAACTATTGTGCAGGAGAAATGTTTATATCCTATTTATTTTAACATACACCTAACAACATCATCAGCGTCCATTATTCTCGAAATTCACAGGTTGTGTAACCGAGTCACTTAGCGCGACAACGCTAACAGCGCTGCATAAACACGATGAACTGGATTCTCTTTCTCATGATTCTCATAGAAAATATTTAATAGGGATACTCTTTTAAAATTCAGCGTTGAGATTCAGTGGTAGAATGAACGACGATCCAAAATCATTTCCAATGTTCTATTATTCCACTTATCAACGATTTCAATGCTGTTGGTCAACACAGAGTTACGTGAATGCTGCGTGATTGTAACATGGAGACATTGGACCTCGTCTTGAATAAAATACTCAGATTGGTTTTCCGAATTAAAACACGGCTAAATAAACGATATGCATCAGTATCAATTTACTGCAATTACTGGCATACTACATACTACGTAAGTTCGGTGTTGCGAATGAAATGATCCGAGTGCCTTGTAATAAAGTTTTAGATTTTTTCATAATGCTTAAGTATTTTAGAAACTAATCAACCCTCTTACTAGGATGATTGACGATATGATGGATTTGAAGATTTTATTGCTTACATTCTTTAAAAATGTTAAATTTATTTTTAGTGAGACAATTTCAGTACCGTATATCTAATTCTTACTGCAGACAGATTGTACACATATGTTTAAGAATTCTCACATATAATATAAATGAAAAATGTAGGATATATAATGAAGCCCTTTTATTGTATTTTTTCCTTTTTTTATCTACCTATGAACACTTTTTCGAAGGTATGGAATGAATTTAGGGGAGGTGCGACATCACTTTCATCAGACGAGTCCCCGACAATTGACATTCACCAGATTTCTTCTACCAATCTTCATTCGTAGATCAA